GAATCATCTGCTACGACTCAAGGACATTACTATCCACCAAAACAACCTAATTTTCAACCTCCTCATTGTTATCCACCTCTATATGATTATTATCCATCTCAAATATATCTTCCACCTCAAATGTATCATTTACTACAAATGTATCCCCCACCACAAATGTATCATAAATATACATGCTTGGTATTTAATATATTATGTTTTGTTAATATTTGATTTGTCTAGAATTAATATTGAATATGAACTTGGCCAAGAAAAATTTTGTAGATAAACCAAATATGAATTTTTTATTATAATCTAAATAAAATTGTGAATAATTTTTTTAGAAAATAAAAAACATAGTGTCATAAACTATTTTTAAAATCATTAAATAAGAGTTTTTATAATTATAATTATAATTATTACATTTTATAATAAATTGTGCAAAAAAAAATTCATGAATGCGATAACCGTAATGATCTCCGTTATATCCGAAAATGTAATAAACGCGACGCGACCGAAAACGTAACTGCGATTGCTATTTAAATCCCTAGCAAAGATGGCATCCGAATCTCTGTTTCCTTTGACAAAGTCTACGGGATCTCTATGGACATATCATTCACTTTTATCATCGGTTAATGAAAGAGAAGTGGCACTTTGTTCTTCAACATATTTATCGAGAAACTAGCCATTGTCCCAAGATAACATCTTTCTTTGATTTAATGAATGCAAATGAATGCATCTTTGGGGAAGGAAAGTCTAGTCCCTTCCAAGTTTTATTCAAACTTAAGTCTCAGGTTCCAGGATTGTTGATGCTCTTAACAAGGAAAGTTCTATAAACAATGTCAACAATTCTACAAGGAGGGACACCGTTCATTACAATTCCTCGTTCCTCATTTATGATAATCACTGGATAGTCTTCCTGGAAATCCAAAAAGATCCGTCCAAAGAGTGGTATGGATCATGTGGTATGATACGCTCACAGTCAGGAGAAGCCAAGGTTCTGTGTAGAAGCATCAGTGCCTATCACAATCTCAGGCGAGAATTATTCTCCTTAAACTTGTGCTCATCGTCAGGGTTCCGATTGCATCATATATAGAGATACACGGAAAAAACCTCATTCTACGGAAACAAAAGGTTTACTGGAGCATATGGAGTAAAAAAGAAGAAAGATGGAAGAAAAAATGCCAAAAGAGTCCCGTTTGTCATATTTGTAGAGGATATGATGCTTCACCGTGAATGGACTAAAGGTGTCTGGTTTGAGGTTTGCAGTGGTTTGAGAGTTGATTGGCAGAGATCAGTACTTCTGATTGTTGGATTTTGGAGGTGTTTGAAGGAGTTAAAGGGAATTATCAGAGCTTTGGAAACAAGAAGTTTGGTGCGTTTTACTTGTTGGTCTATTTGGAAGGAAAGATGTAATAAGGTGATTGGAATATGGCACGGGTCTACTGGATGTAAGCTATGTAATTTCTAGAACATAACGAGCTGCTCAAGAGTTTCTGCAAGCTTGCTAGTTATGGAAGTCCACTTAAAAAAAGCAATTAATCAGGTATTGAAATTCCTGAGTTATGGTTCCCTCCTGAGGCTGGATGATACAAGATCAATACTGATGGAACGTATGATCCGAGGGATGGTTCTACTGGCATGGGTGTTATTGTGAGAAATTCAGAAGGCACGTGGATCAAAGGTGCTTGCTTGAAGAAGAAGGCACTCAGATAGCTGTGAGCGAGAAACTTGAAAAGGTGGTTTTTGAAATGGATTCTCAAATTGTCCATGCTGAGATAACAGGAATAAGCAAGCACAAGAGTTGGATACTGATGCCTGTATGTACTGACATATGTTCGTGACTGAATTGGAATCCGGAACACAAAAAAAAAAAAAAAATTTGAAGGTAAATAGAGTGTTCACTTAAATCAGGATAAGATGTGTCGTATTTAATAACTTAAAACAGATGATTGTAAGTCATGCATTTGAGGTAACTCCAACAAATAATCATCAAAAAAATTCGAACCCAAAATTTTTTCATCAAAAAGAATGACTTTAACCAATTGAACCGACCACTTATTGGTCTTTATTAGCATTTGTATTTATGCAATTTATGCTTTAGACGAAACCTATCACCCCGTAGGTGTGCCCGAAATCGTCTTGGGGTCATGTTTCTAAGAATTTCTTCTTGTGCAATAACCAATTCTTAGTTACCATTTTAAATAACAAGATGATATGTTAAGCAATATTGTTGCAATGTCAATATTCCGTACTTGAATTAGGCAAATGTTCAAGTACAGAACGTAGGATCTAATAATTTTAAATACTATTAAATTAGATCTAGTCTTCGAGAATTAAATTTTTTTGTTAAGTTTTAATGAATAACAACATACTGATAAATATATGTGTATTTATTTTTTAATAATAAATTATAATTTAATTATATATAAATGTAATTTTTTATTAAATTAAGGTGTTAAATAATATCTTTATTAATATAATACATATATATATATAAATATAAATTAAATATGTTCTTTTGTATATCTCGTAGAGAGTGAGTAAAGCACAATAAATCCAATTTCAACTTGACTTAAATTACTGAATAAAGCAAATTTTAACCAAATTTTTAAAAAACATTATAAATTAGATTATTGTCAATTGAAATCTATTATATATAAGTAATTTTGTCATTTTTAGATTCATTAGTTGTTTCTTTACAAAATTTATCTAATAAATAAAATTTTAAAAAATAAAACAATGACAAAAAAAATCAAATTAGATGTTACGTGAATTTATTAAATTAAGATATTAAATAATATTTTTTAATAAAATACATATATAAATATAAAATTAAATAAATAATAAAATATATTTGTATATATATTAAAGTCGAGCTGTAATATCTAAAACTTTACTCTTACTTGAGTTCAGTATAAAAAACTCAACTCAAATTATCTATAATTAAAACAAAACATACCAATTGGATCAAGCAAATTGAAATCTATCAGATATGAATTATTTTGTTATATATATTTTTATTAATTTTTTTATTATAAAATTTATCTAATAAAAAAAATATTTAAAACCAAAAAAAGTAAAGGTTTTAGAAAACAAAGAAAAAACAAAAGGAAGGAGGTATCAAGTGAATACTCGATATGAGGTGAAACAATTTAAATATGTCTCCAATTCCATTCCATTTTCCAAAAAAAAAAGAAGAAAAAAAAACAACCTTGAACCAATCTATATTTTTTTTAGATTGTTGGATCGTTATGAGTCAAAACCAATATAAATTGTTTTATCATTTTTACTTTAATTACTTTTTTTAAAAAAATTTATTTAATAAAAAATAAAAACAAAAAGAAAAAGATAAAAAGTAAAGAATGGAAGAAGAATGTCGCGTATACACTCTCTCCTTCCCTCATTCCCTGCAAAATTAAATATGTAGACACCCCAAACAAGTCGTAAGCCGATCCAATTTTTAAATTAAAAAAATCACGATATCAAATAAAATAAATATGCTTATTAGAGCGAGATAAACTAAAAAATGAATAAGTATTATCTTGCTAGAATCGTCTTAATTATTTTTCATGCATAAAATCAATTAAACTAAAGAATATAACACCCGCCCCCCCCCCCCCCCAAAAAAAAAAAAAGCAAAAATCCCAAAAAACCAAATCAAAAATTAAAAAAAAAAAAAAGGGAAAGGACATGAAAAGATGTGACGTGGACAACTACAACCCTTCCTTCTCTACAAAATTTATTTTAACGAGTATGATTTAAAATTTTAATAAAAATTTATGAGTTTGATAAAAATAAAAAATATATTTTTAATTATAATATTATAATATTTATATTTTATATATACTTAATTCAAAATAAAATGATATAAATATATAAATTATTATATTTAAATTCAAATTATAAAAATAAAATGACCTGAATATACAATTTGTTATGCTTAGATTCAATTTATAAAGCACCTTATATTGAAGGAAAAGGAAAAATTTAAGAGGAAAACAAAAAGGAAAAGGGGTTCATCGTTTACTAGCACCGACAACAACGAAGGTCATAGTTTCTGACATTATCAAGTACCCAAATTGTAAGTGAGACATGATGATGAGTCGATCAAGTGTAAACAATGCCCATTTAGTTTGACCTTGAAATATCATTTCCTAATATGTGACCGAAAACCTCCATATAAATCATAAAACCCTTTAATAAAATCATTGAACATGAAAGGGATCGAGATGGAGAAGCACAGCAATGTGCTGAATCAGAAGATATAGTTGTTTAAAATACTCAAAAAGCTCTCAAGATCCCTTAAAAAACTACCAACTTACTAAGACAACCCCAACGTATTTCGATCATTGGCTGATACCAAGCAATTCTAGAACAACGGCAAATTATTTCTTTTATAAACTGATTCAACTGAGTCTTCTCCATCTGATGCCCCTTCACCTATTGGAGCTCTGCGCTGCGGTTGTTACAGTTGATTTGGCAGGCATCAAAAACACATACGAAGGAAAAACCAACAACTCCCTAGATGGTACAAACACTTCTCAACAAAGCGAGGTGTAAAGGCATCATTGTCACATCTGCATATGTTAAATTTGTTTCAACTTGTTTTTTACTCGGATCAACATGGTTAGCGACGAACGATTATATTATTGTGAGGAACTTTTTCTATAACGTGTTCACTGCAGCATTTTTTCGAGTAGCTGCCATGGCTCTTCTGGTGAAATACTTTAGAATGGACAGCTATCTGGAACATGAGTATTGTGATTTCAACATTAGAGGAAGTACATGGGGCTGATGCTCTAGGACTCTCGGCTAATTTATGCAGAGGCAGCGAGAGACAAGGGTTCTTGTTGATGCTTGTCTTCACGTGGGGTGTCGGTTTAAGGTTTAACATGTTACTACAGCGGATGCAATGAGAAAGGCTGGAGAACTGGCTAGCTTGATTTGCATGGGGCATGTGATGAAGTGGGTGGTTTGTCTGATCTATTTCTATCATCGCAAAAAAATGGACCACAGGGAAACCAATCAAAGCTGTATATACGAATAAGAACGTTCTTCTGTACTACACTCAGCCTGCCTAGTTCAAAGGTCATCATCATTCTTCAGCCAACCATCCAAGAATTCGAGCAGCAGATAACAGAAAGATACCAGGAACACAAAGATGTAAATCTGATGCATTATTCCCAGAAAGAGCCATTTATATCAACTTAAAATGACCCATAATCCCTGGACTTCGTTGATTCGTACAATTCAAGTAGACTAGCATCCTTCAACAATCATACTAAAAATTCTCTTCCTAAGTGACATAAAAGAGCATTGATTGAACTTCTAAATCCAAGGTTCACGACTACATTGGATCATCAAGCAAGGGTGAAAATTAATGCACCACAATAACTAGAATTTTGTAAAAAGATCTTCAAAATTTCCATCCCTAAGGTTTTGAATCAATCACCTTCTTTGCAAAGGATGGTAAACAGAAAGCAGCTGAATGAATCTGAGATCAGGAACAAGCAAAAAGAGGGAGGGTTTCAAATAAGTGAATCACAAATTATGAAGCCTTAACATAAGATAAAGACTTAGGGAAAAAGGGGTTAAAAGGCGAATCACAAATTTTCTCACACGACAATAAAGAATTTAGAATAGAGCAGAGCCGCACCTCAGAGTTGTAAAACCTAAGGGGTCGTTTTGATTTGCAGCAGCTATCATCTGTGTCTATAGGATTCACAGGATGCTTGAAGTCAACAGGAGGCCCCTCAGTTGAGCAAAGCATGAAACCAATCACACCACTGTAACGAAATAAAAAGTTACATGATAAGCAGCTTTGGCAACACGTACAACACTAAACAAGTTAGGCAAACACAAAGCAATGCACCGATAATGCAGGTGCATAAGATATACCTCCATTCAAAAGGACAGTCCATTGAATTTGAGGGTATTAACAACATCAATGAACACATATAAAAAAAAATACAGGGGCGTATAGAATGATAAAAAATGAAAGCAGTTGGGCATGATGAAAGAAATGCCATTAGTACATGCCTTGGGTATGTAGGAACTGTAGTCCATGCATAGTTAACAGAGCCTTTGAAGATTTGGCGGCAGTTTGCTACAATATCCTCAATTATGTGCATATGTAGCCAGATACTTTCTGCCTGAGTACAGACCACTCCACCTGGACGAAGAGCCTTTGCCACTGACTCGAAAAAGGGCTTCTCAAAGAGCTCTTGTGCAGGACCTGAAATGGCAAACAATGGCTCAAATATCTAAAGATGCTAAACCATTCAAAACAAAAAATAAATAAATAAATAATACAGAGTTTCAAAAAATAGCATTACCTATTGGGTCGGAAGAATCCACTATAATTGCATCATAAGTACCTTCTGGAACGGCCTTCAAAAATGCAACTCCTGAAATGGAAAAGGTCATTAATGATTGATATCATGCAATAGAGTATAAAAGCACCGAAAAATAGTTGACCATACCATCACCAATATGAAGGGTCACACGGGGATCCTCATAACCAACAGCTACGTCAGGGAAAAATTGTTTAGAAACCTAGCACACACAAAAATGCATATTGTAATAAGAACAAGGCTCCCTTAAAGGATGGTTGGAAGTTTCTAGCAATTGGCCTAAATTATTGAAGCCCAACTAAAAAGTACTAAAATAGTAAACTTGCATTTTGCAGAAAAATCCTATGTGCTAAGGGAGACAGAATTTAAAAGTAACTTTACCCTCTTTTGATCAATCAATTACAATTCATTTTGAATTTATATAGACTGTGTGAAAGGCAAGAAAGACATTAAATGTTACTACTCACATCAACTACCATCTTATCAATTTCACAGATGTCAATCTGTTCAACAGAAGAATGACGAGCAACTTCCCGTAGAACTCCACCATCTCCACCACCAATAACCAAAACCTGGTGAAAAAGAAAAAAACACATCAATGGGAATTGAAGAAGTAAACAGGTATGATAAGAGTGCCTGTCAAATAATTTCATCTTAGGTAGGGTACTCTTAAAAGCACCCAACAGAAGCCACACATTAAATGAAAAAAAAAAAAAAGATTATGCAGATAAATAAAAAAAAATCCAACTTCCACCCAAAAACTATAAAAAAGAAACAATTCCCTAGCTCGTAAAATATCAGCAGTTCATATTTGTTAAATTTTATTGGTTTTCTTTTATATAATAGGTTCTTCAGGCAGGGGAGACTCTCAGGAAGAAGGTAAAGACGAAGAGAAAACATTTAAACATGTCAGTTAGTGTAGGCTTTATAGCAAAGAGGAAAAGATGAAATTCACCACAAAGTAATAAAATTAACAATAGTCCTTAAGTCAAAACAACCAATGGAATCATTTCCAATGATCTCAGTAATCATCATTCGGTCCCTTCCCTACAATAGCGAAAAACAGAACATTTTTTTCAATCATTCGCCAGCACCTTCCACGCATCCTCTACAGCTAAATATCAAAACTGAGAATAACTTTAATATTGAAGTCTTCATGAATCTAAAGCATGGCAAGGAATTCACTTCAAACGTTTTATTATGACATGCAAATCAGCTATAAAACTACTCATTACATCGAGCCAGATCAATGACTGACTTTGATATCTACAAAGTTGTTAGTTGTATGCAATATTACAGTAATCTAGTAGATAATTACCTTCTTTGGACTTGGAATGGAGCAAAGAGGAAGGTGAGTAATCATTTCTTGATATGCACATTCATCTCTCTCTGTGAGCTGAATCACGCCATCCAAAACAAGAACCTTCCCATACGTTGATGACTGCCAAAGGTACACAAACAATTCAGCTTCAAAACATGATGAGTCTGAAAGAAACTAAAGAAGGAAAAAAGAAACAAGAAAAAAGTTATATTCCCCTTGGAGCACCACATACCTGAAAGACCATGACATTCTGGTAATCAGACTTCCCTTGAAATAAGATCTCTTCAACTTTTAAGGAATGTGCCTCTCCTGCATATTTCAGTATAAAAGTGGTTCATGGAACATAATGATGTGTCTTTTCAAATAATAAATAAAAAGGAAGTACGTTTTCAGTAAAACTATTATGCAACTTCCTCCCTTACATCTATCTTAATTTAAGGAAACTAACAAAGACTAATATGGAACAGGATCAAACTCCATGAAAAAAAAATCATAGAGATCCGCATGCTCACTAAGAAGACCCATAACTCAGTTAAATGGCAGTCTTGCCTCTATTAGACCTATTCAATCCCACAACTAAGTGAAATTTCAAGTAGTACGAAAAGAGACAACGATGACATAAACAAGCAAGTGTATGCAAAGAAGCCTAAACTCCTAACATTCAATGAAGTTGTCAGCTAAATACATACATAAGAAACCACATTAAGGGAATTGTAGAAAAACAATTGTCGCAGAAGTAATTGAACATAAGCAACTCCAGTTGGTTTCCACCAAGCTTAAAGGGTCTTTTAAAAGATAATAGGATATTTGTCCTGGGTGGTTAACTAGTAATGACTGTTATCATAGAAAAATGAAGTTTGTTTTATGGAGTTGTTTTCATAGGATAGACGATTGACAATACAGACCCACTACACACGTAGCAATGACAACCAAGTTACATGAGATGTGAAAACGAGTGGCACACATTTAACATTGATAAAAAAATCCCATCCTCAATATGGAACTGATTGAGGACTTTTAAAAGGAAAACAAATGAAAAAAATCAGAACGAACGTCAGAAGCAATAGTAAAAAGGGGAAAACAGATTTGAAAGTATCATAAACGAACCTGATGACATTCAAACAGCTGAAAAACAAACGAACCCATTAATTCAAAATCACTATTACCCTTAGAAGGAACGAATATTTTATACGAACAAATAAACACAACCATAGAAAATTTCTATTTAAAACAGTTGAAGCCAAACACCAAGCACAGAAATTTAGTCGCCCATCATCAGAGATATACCACTAACCATAAAAATTTACATACATATAAACATTCCCACAGATCAGAAAAGGAAAATATACAAAAAAAAAAAAATGAAACAATACAGAGTAAAAAAGAAAAGCCATGTTTTGGTTACAGAGGAATGAAACCTTTTTACATCCCATTCTCCAAATAACGTAAAGAGAAGAGAGGGAGAAAAAAGAAAGGGGGTATTTGGAGAGTTAAAAAACGTACCAGGCCACATTGGGCTAATCTCAGAGAACCATCCAGGAATAACGGAGGATATCCCATCACCTTCCTTAACGTTATTGGAAGTGTTGTTGTTATCATCTTCCGTTTCCATGGCAGCAGCAGCAGCAGAAACCCCGTTCTCTTCACCTTCTCTAGGCCTCTTAACAGGCAAATCCGCACAACTCACAGAGGCACCGCTCTCTTCTGACATAGAGACCCTGTTTTTTTGTTATAGAAGGCAAAAAGACCTAAAAAGCAAGAGAGAGAGAGAGAGAGAGAGAGAGAAACGGAGAAAATCTTAGGTATGCCACTGAAGAAGAACGAGGCCACGCAATCTTGGTCCTGCTTTATGGTACTCGTAAGAAAGCAGAATGCTTGCTGGGTGGGTGGGTTGGGCCGCTTTGGGCAGAGAAGAATAAAAAAAGGAATAATAGTATGAGAATATATGGGAAAAATAAAATCAATTTTTGATTTATAATATCGTCATACAATAAACAAGTACAAAGAATCTGCTTGCAAACGACGCGTCTTTTGGGTAGGCAGTGTCGGCCTGTCGGCGTCTTCCTTTTTTTTTTTTTCCAAATTATTTTTAATTTTATTAATCAAATTAAAAGATTTTTACGTATTTTTAAAATATATTAAAAAATTAACCAAAAAAAGTGAGAATTTGACGATAATCTTTTTTAATCTTAAAACTTTATCAACAGTGTGTAAAAATAACTCACAAATGATATTAAAAATTAGAGAAATTATTTTTTAATTATATGATTGAAAATTGCAAATAAAAGTGATATTTAGGGTTGGAAACTTGGGATTGGGATGAAATTATTTCTTTTTATTTTGGGTTTTGGTTGGTTCTGAACTAATGATTTTTTTATTCTTTAATTTATTTATTTTTCTTTATGTAAAGGGAAGCAGAATATCAAGGCATATGGGGGTGAGGGAATCGGTGCACTAAAGCCTTAGTTTGCTGATTATTTTACACTGATGCCAATATTCTTTATTATTTTGGGTTTTTTTTTTATGAAAGCGGTTGTAAATTTTAAATATCAAAATTTAAAATTTAAATTTATTAAGTAATATTTTTACAAAAATAATTATATAAACAATTGAGCTCTTTTGACTATAAATTTTAATTTCAAATTTTAGATAATTTTATTATATGTTCCCATACAAAATTTAGCATTACTTTATTTTGCATGTGGATTGAACCTCATGGATCTTGGGATTGTCGACTTCAACTTCAACCTTATCATCTTCTTTAATATTTTATAATTTTTTTTTTACATAAAGCTGTGATCTTTAAATGTACGAAATATAAGATTATCATTTGATTTTTTTTTCTGATATTCATTCACACAAAGTACCACTTTATCTTCTTTAATTTTTGTAATTTATGTTTGTTCAAATTCATAGTACCAACATTTAATATTTTTTCATAAATCGTTGTGTTTAATTGATTTGACTCATTAAATGTATGTAACATCCAAATTAAGAAATCAATTCGAATTTTTTATTTTTTAAAGTAAAAATATTTTTTAGAGAATTACTTGTATAAAATAATAAAAAAAATTTATCAAATACTATATTTCATATAAAGAATCAATTAATTAAAATAGATTAAATAGATAAATTAATCAACAAACCACATAAAATTGGATTTTCTACATTTGATAAATTTTGAATATGAAATTTCAAAATTTCAGAACGTCTTTTTTTTTATAAAAAAATTTGATTTTCATAATGGTGGTAATTGATATTTTGTCTACCATATATGGTAACATATGGGTGGGAACTTTATATGTTAAAAAAAATAAAAATTATTACTTTTGAGGAACATTGCCTTTACTGACCTGTCCAGTAATCTAATTATAACGAGATGAGATGATGTATACAATATCGAGTATTACCTAATGCAATGAAATGATTACATTTTTAATTTTCAAGGGAAAAAAAAACATTTTATGGATTTATAAATTCTTCTCTATCACATATTTCCTCAATTATAGCATGTAATTTTGAATATTTATATATATATATATATAAATTAACTTATATTAATGTAAAATTAAAAGTTTTTATACATTTTTTAATAATTAATCTTACTAAATTCAAAAAATAAGAGAGACAAGTGAAAAAAAATTTAATTTCATCCATTGAACATGTTAAAATCAATAGTTAAAAAATATATAAATTTGGTTTTTATAAATTGATCACTCCCATATATATATATATATTAATTTTAATATTAGAGTGTGTGTCTCGAAAAGCTAATTTTGATATCTTCTAATTTTTTTTTCTCTTTTGTAGATTCAATGAGTTCAATTAAACTTTCAGTAAAATCCATTCTCACCAAACCTAAAAAATCTTAGCAGAATGATAAAAAAAAAAAAAAAAACCTTATTTTCTGTGGGCAAAAGATGAATTTACAATTAAATGAAAAAAAAAAGAAAGAGAAACGTTTTTTTAATGGTCAAGAGAAACAAGTTAATAATTATTGTGTTTAACGAGAACCAAAAATTACTAAATTTTTTATATTGTTAGAGATATAAATGAATTGAATATAAATAAATTTTATTATATTTTTAATTTATTTTTTAATTAACGAAATATGAAATATTATTTATAATCATTTATTATGCTTAATAAATAAATATAAATAAATAAAAACATAAAATATTCATAAAATATTTTATTTATTTATATCATTATATATTATAATATTGATTCATAATAATTATAACCTAATTTTGGGATGGGATGATAAAAAAACTTTTGGATGGGCGAAGGATGAATTTACAATTAAATTAAAAAAAAAAAAAGAAAGAGAAACTTTTTCTTAATGGTAGAGAAAAACAAGTTGACAATTATATAAATAAAACAAAAAAAAAAAAAAACATGATTGTCTTATATGAATTGCAAGTTGAAAGATTAATCCAATTTAGTCAAAGATCGCAAACTTCAAGAAACAAAACAAAAGCGAAATCCCATGCACGCACCAACCTGTTTTTCTGCCATAGAAGCAACAACAATATTTCCTTTAAATATATAAAGCAACATCTTGAGAATTGAAGCTCAATGGTAAGTGAAGCATAACTGAAATCAACTAACGAGAATAGGAGCACGACATAGGCAGCCTTGAGATGCTTAAATGCCTTAATTAATTAAAAAAACCAATAACGTTTTAAGGATGAATTACAAAATAAGGGAATGGATTGAAAATATTTTATCTTCTTCAATCATGGAGCAATTATTCATTAAGAAAGGAATGACAACTTGATAATCATTGGCGTATAAGAAAATTTTAATTATCTTTTTATCCTTAATTTGGATAACAATTTTTTTTAATTTAAAGAGAGAAATAAAAAAAATCATTGAAAAGAGATTTTAAAAAATTATTGTTGATAGCATCACATCTATTATTATAAATGATAATAATAACAACATTAATTAGATAAAATCAAAATCGATCTACTTCAAATAAAATTTTATTTGATTGATTGAGTCTAAATTGGATATAACTTATTAACACTAGATTCGATCACATCAAAAATTGATATGCCCTCTAGATTAGATTCAGATAACAATCTAGCTAGATTCAATTTGACAAGAGTGGAAACAACCTTGGTTGATCAAGTTGATGTTTATTTGAGGAGGCAACTCGTCGGTGTCTTTTAACATTTTCTTTGTCTCCTTTTTTTTCTTTTTTTTTTTTTTTTAAATAAAAAATTATAAAAAAAGTAAAGATAAAATGGTAATTACGAATTCCTTGTTAATAGTTAAAAAATGATAATTTCTTATTTGAGCATGGTAACAATGATAAAGTGTAAAAAGTTATGATCCGTTATCCTTTTCTGTAATTTCATTTTTCAAGGGCACAAATTTTTTCTTTACACGTGTGATAATTGGCTCTTACCGTAAGAAGAGGCACAAATTCCTTCATGACCAACGGAATTGAACATAATACTTTCCCTCTTTGTGAAAGGAATTAACGATTTGGTCAAAATCTAAAAAGAGAAGGGGAGAGAGGGAAGCTGATGACCATCGTACTGTTTGCGTTCCGTACTTTTTGTAAATTTTGCGTCACACTTCAAATGATGAGGTTCGAAGAAATTAGAGCTCGGTGAAAGTTTGAGCTTTCGAAAGATCAGTCTGCCATGCAATTAATGCAAGCAGTTACTATACTTGTTGTTGATATTCCTAACTTATAGGTTTACATGAGAGTGATAAAAGTCAAACTAACTGTCCCCCACCAAAGCCTGGCCTTCACCTCCTCCACTTACTGCTGTCTCTCTCTTCTTTCTTTTTTGTTTTGGTCGGCAAATAATATGGGCCCTCAGCATAGGTTGATTGGTTTTAGTTTTCCCCTGCCACGTGCTTCTTCGGTCATCCTTTATGTACCTTGCCCTTAGTAATTTATTTTGGTCGGTTGAATTTATAATTGTGCCATTGAGATTTTTTTTTGCCAACGTGAGATTGGGAGAATATAAATGGTACTACTAATTATTTTTATACTAATCAATATTATTATTATAGTATATTTTGACGAGCATTTTATTTTTAATTAAAAAATTATATAATGTAACGTAAGATCAAAGAAATATGTTAATTATCTTTTAGATTAAATGATATGTTATTAGAATTGATATTTAAAAATTATAAATTTGAGATAATTTATATATGTAATATTCAATTCAATAAGATAAATAATAAAGTAAAAAGAATTTAAGAGTAGATTAAAATTTTTTTAAAAAAGTAAAAGAGACATAATTTGCAGAGAAAAATTCAAAATTGTCAATACCTCAGTGTTACTTTGTCAAATGTTGTTCTCATAATTTTTCTTTTTTTTTATATTTTAAACACGCATTTGATCCTTGATATAGTTAATTACCTCAATTAATCAACAAGTGATTGGTTAAGGCTCGTCTTCCTTGATGAAAAAGTCTTGAGTTCAAGTTCTATTGGTGGTTGCTTGTTAGATGCATCTTAAATGCATGACCTACAGTCACCTGTCTTAGACTGTTAGGTATGAGACATTTTATATTGACTTGAGAAATTAAATAACTTATTTATCCTTAAATTTTTCATACAAAAAAAAAAAAACTATTAGAAGCCTATTTTCAATTGATGACTTATATCTTTCGATTAACTAATTATGATCAATTGTCGTAATGATTTTGAAATCGTCAGATGTTTAAAATTTTAAAAATTTAAAAAAATGAGAAGAGTCGCCACCAATATTTTTTAGAGTGTGATTGGTTATCCAAAAATTTATCTTTTTAATAAAACTATAAAAGTGGATTTAAAGTTTATTAAAAAGATAAATTTTAGTCTACGAAAATCAAGTTGGGTCCGAGAGTTGATTACGTATGAGAAAGGATTAACACCCCGTAATGCCCATAAATTGGTACCAATTAATCATGCACTATTTATGGTGTTGGATGAAATAGTTTTATTTTAAAATTTAATAATAACTCAATTTTATTATTTTTAAAAAATAATTTTATCAAAATTTTTTATTTAAGAGTATCAAAAAAATCTTTAAGTTAAAGAATTATCTTAAAATTCTCTAAAATTTAGGCAGAACTTTAAATATAACTCTTTTAACTGATATTTATCATGATATTCATTAAAAATGAAAATAACATTTCTTAGGGAAGGTAATTGTTGGTGACTTTTCCAGCATTTAGGCAGAGTATCGAGAATTATTCCCCTTGAGATGTTATTTTTATTTTATTTCATATTTTTTAAATTACATTTTTATTTAACGTTTTGTGTGAGAAAGTAAACGATGGTACTATCAAGTAGCAAACAAAAATTAAAGGTACAAATATGCGAAATAAGTGTAAATAATAACAAATAAACACATGTAAGCCAATAGGTGCTGTGTATGATGAAGAAATGCAAATTTAAAATTGGTTTCTTAAATATAATAAGACCACCTTGAGTCCCTAACATTTAGGTAAAGCTTATGTGTAACTATTTATATTTAAGATCCCATTTTATTATTATACTTTTTTTATTAGTTTTAATCTCGTTGTTAAGATGAAATAAGGACTCATATGAAAAATTTAATAAAATAAAGTTTTCTAAATATCCCATCATCTAGACGGTATTCGAGAATAAACTACTCCACTTGAGATTTTTGTATGTATCTTTAGAGTTTCAGAATAGTTTTGAACATAGATGTGGGTCAAGATTTTAAAGTTTGGTGACTTATAGGTGATGATTCGGGATTGTGTACCAAATTTAGGGTTTTAAGTTTTGAATTTTAAAATTTAGGGTTTTAGATTTTGGATTTTAGGGTTTCAAATTTTTAGGGTTTGGATGGTTTAGAGATTTTGATTCTAAGGTTTAAAGGGGTTTAGCGTTTCGATTTTAGGGTTTAAGGTTTTAATTTTAGGGTTTGAAGGGTTTAAGGTGTCAATTTTAAGGTTGGAGGATTTAGGGATTTGATTTTAGGGTTTGGAGGGTTAGGGTTTTAGTTTTAGGGTTTAGAGGGTTAGGGTTTCGATTTTAGGGTTTAAAGGGTTTAGGGTTTGACTTAGGGTTTGAGGTTAAGGTTTTGATTTTAGGGTTTCAAGGATTTGGGTTTTAATTTTGGAGTTTGAGGTTTAAGATTTTAATTTTAGGGTTTCAAAGGTTTAGGGTTTTGATTTTTGGGTTTTAAGGATTTAGGGTCTAGAGAAAATGCGAACATCTCTAAAAATCTTCAACATCTAGATAAATTTTTGAAGCAAGTTTGGTCTTTATAATTTTTGAAAATTAATTAAAAAAATTTTTTTATGAAAATTTATTATTAATATTGTTAATTTATTTAGTGATTTTTTATAATAATTTCTCAACATCTAAGAAGAATTAACATTATTTAAAACACGATTTATATTTCCTAACATTTATGTAGGAAAATTTTTTTATTACTAATTGATTTTATAATCATTTATAAATATTTTATTATTATTATTTTTTATTTAACAGTTTGGTTATTAAAAATATATTAAAAGGAATAAAAAATTTTGAAATCATTTTTATTATTATTGGTATTATCATTATTATTATTATTATTATTATTATTATTATTATTATTATAAAACAACAAATATTTATTCTAATAAATTCTAAAAGTTTTTAAACATGCATAAATAACAATAATAAAGCTAAAAATGATATAAATAATATATATGAAAAAATAAAAATCAAATCAAAAATTTTTTTTATTTGAACCAAATCGATTACGGGCCGATCAACAGGTCGATCTGGATGGCTCGGTTGTTCAACGATTTAGACCGGTTTAAACCAGTTCACTAACGATTTGTATGAATCGACTGAGGGCTAGCTGAAGCGGATTGATGGGCCAGGTTACGCTGATCTCGAGTTGGGTCACGAGCATGTCGAATCCTCTTCTTTGCCCAAAACGATATTGTTTTACTTCTTTATTTTTATATAAAAGTTAACTCTTTTTTTTGGTTCATTTCATCATTTCTTTCGAAAAAAAAATTAGCCTTAAAAATCTCTTCGAGTTATGCCAAAGTTCGGTGTCGTGTTGCCACCCTAGCCGTCACCTGAGGTTGCTGCCAATGATCATCGATGACTAAAAAGCACCAGAAAGCTTTCAAAAAATCTCCTCCTTGTGATCTTTCCAAATCCAGTATTCTTTTCACCGAGAACAACCCCGATCAGTGTAGATCGAAGTTTACAGTTTCAATCCTTTTTTAAAAAAAACCCAAAATTGATGATTTTTTTTGTTTTTGTAGACAGCTCGACGCTGGGTTCCTCCCTATAGGGAAGACTGTCTTTGTGATTTTTGTTTTGTTTTATCTTTTTTTTGTGGCTAATTTTTTTGGGTTTGTTTTTTGGTAGTTTGTTTGCTGTGGAAAAGTAGGTTTGAAAGCTAAAAGTACTTGGTATAGGGCCATTGGGATAGAGGTGGCTATGTAAAGGGCTAGCGTAAAAGGAATGGCTGAGGTTTTGAGGTCTAACTAAGGGAAAAAATCTTGGTGCCTAGGAAAGGTCTGGTGCCTTTATGGTGTTGGCCTTTTGGGAGAATGGGTGGCTGAGGACGGTGCTGGCAAGGGATTGGGTGACTGAAGGCAATGTGTTGGTAGGGGTAGGTGAGTGGGTTTGGGTAGTTAGGGAGTAGTGGTGCCATGCCTTCTTTTTTTTTCTATTTTTTCTATTTTTTTGTTTGTTTTTATTAATTATTATATTTTTATAACAATATTAAATTGATATGATAAAAATTTAAAAATAAGCCCAAAAGCTGAATTAGTCTAGAACATGAAATTATTAACCCAGATAAAAATTAGTGTCTACACCAATGATATATGCTATACGGATGAGCATGCTTTGATTCTAAAATCATATTGCAAACCATCCATTCATGATCTATTGAACTTTGAATTTGCTTATGATTCCTTTAAACCATAGTTAGGATTGATTTTATGGTCCAATGTCATTTAAAATTAACCCTTGATAAGATTTTCATTTTCAAAATTCATAATTAGATATTTTAATTTCATTTTCATTAAGTAAATTATCTTTAACATTAATTCTGTTATTATATGTGATAAAAATAATCAATAAAATTATGACATGTGATATAAAAATATCACATCAAATTTTATTTTTTTAATTTTTGAAATTTAAAAAAGGAAAATTTAAGAAAATAAAGAAGTAGATAGAATTGGGAAACAGGGGGTAGGAAAAGAAAGATAATGGGAAGGGGGTTAGGAGGAGAAAGAAGAAAAAAAGGAGAGGGAATATCAACTTTATTTTTAAAATTGCATGTCTCTCTAAGAGATTAATTTCGAAAATGAAAGAAATTGAAAAAAAATTACTATAGTAACAATAAAACATCAATTTTGTAGAATTTATACAATTGATAATGAAATTTTATGTAAGATGGACCATGGTGTAAAAGATCTTAACCCAACATACAAAATTCTTTCTAGAACTGCCATTTTCTTCTTGCTCAAGCAGGGCTACGAGGAAAAAGTGAATCAAATCCTCATAAGGTCTTAGCCCATTTTACTCAATTCTCCACAGCCCAAACGAAAAATGACTAATGAGCCCATATAAAGCTCTATTCATTACACACTACGACAAGAAATAAATGAAAATAGGAATAAGAAAAGATTTTTAAAAGAAAAAAAGAAACAAAAATAGAACCAGAAGCTTTAAAATTTCTTTTGAAACTTTGTTTTCACTCTCAATCGATCTTTCTAAAATTTCGTTTTCATTGTTTTTTCTTCGATTAGGGTTCCTTATTCTTCTAATTAGGAAACTTTAAATTCTAATTTGTTTTCGTTTATTCTCTGCATGCCAGAGTTAAACCCTAGAAGACTCATCACCAAAATGCAAGATGGTTAGTTTTCTTCTCATTATGATTTCCTCTCTGCCTTTCAATTTCTCTGATTACTTCAATTTTTTTTTGGAATATTATATATGTTTTCAATCAAAAAATTACAATTTCACTGTCTCATTTTTTTATTGGTGAACTTATAGGCAACTTTAGTTGTTTTATTTTTTCCAGACCTTGATAAATTGTCGGATAATGAACCTAATGTTGTCATGAGATTCAAACCATTCTCTTTTTATTTAGTTATCATTTATGTGATGATTACCATTAATAGTGATATTCATATCTATCTCTTAGAAGGATCATAACCACGAAAAAAGATATTAATGGTGACCTGCCTGATATTGAAACCCTTAACTACGATGATCTTGATAGTGTTTCAAAATTGTAAAAAACTCAAAGGTACATTGACATAATGCATGTTAGTTTCATTCATGTCTTAAGAATTGCTTTTGTTTTCTTATTCATCGTTGAATTCTTAAATTTAGCATAATTGATTACGTAATAAACTGTTATTATAGAGAAAAGATTTAATTTTGTATGTAAGAAAATTTGCTAAATCTTCTTGGGCTTGAGTTTGTCTTGACTATTTCTATTCTTAGCTCTATTTACAATAATGCAAAAAGTGGAAGATGTGTTTGAAAAAAGTTCTATATATCGAATCAAAGAATGGTACTAGAAGATGATCCTGAGTATCAACTGATTGTAAACTGTAATGCTCTATCTACTGATATTGTGAATGAGATTATTATTATCCATAATTTTTTATATGATAAGTATCGACTGAAATTTCCTGAGCTTGAATCACTTGTGCATCATCTGATTGATTATGCTCGTGTAGTGAAAAAGATTGGCAATGAGATGGATTTAACCTTGGTTGATCTAGAAGGACTTTTGCCTTCAGCCATCATTAAGGTTGTTTCAATTACAATACCAACTACTAGTGGCAAGCCACTTCCAGAAAATGTTCTTTAAAAAACTATTGATGCATGTGATCGAGCTCTTGTTTTGGATACAATAAAGAAAAAAGTTCTTGATTTTGTAGAAAGCAGAATGGGATATATTGCACCATATCTTTCTACTATTGTTGGAACTGCTATTGCAGTTAAACTCATGGGTATTGCTGGTGGTCTTTCAGCATTAGCTAAGATGCCTGCTTGTAACGTTTAATTGCTTGGTACAAAGAAAAAGACCCTTGCAAGGTTTTCTATTACAACATCATAATTTTATGTTGGTTACATTGAATAGATGGAGATTTTTCAAACTATAGCCCTTACTTTAAAGAGTTGTGTTTACTGTCTTTTGGCTTCAAAAGTAATGTTTGTAGCACATGTAGATTCTATTAGAGGTGAACCATCAGGGAATGCTAGAAGAACTTTAAAAGAAGAGATCCATAAAAAAATTGAAAAGTGGCAAGAACCACCTTCTGTAAAGCAGCCTAAACCATTTCCTGTTCCTGATTCTAAACCTAAGAAAAAGAGGGGTGGTTGTCGCTTAAAAAAGATGAAGGAGAGGTAGTTCTGTTATTTTTATTACTTTAACATGCAATTTTTTTTAAATCTTATTATAGCGAGTTGTGTGTATATTTTGGATTTTGATTATTTGATAAGTGCGTTTGTGTTTTTTTTTTTTTTCAGGTATACTATAACAGACATAAGAAAGCTAGCAAACAAAATGTAATTTGGTGTAACTAAGAAGAGCTCTTTAGGTAAAACTTTTGATTTTTCCATTTTTTGAAGTAATATAATTTGTGAATATTATATTTTGTTATGATTCTTAAAAGAGTTATAGGTCTTCAATAAGTGTGAAAGCTCTAATTAAGTAAATACATGTATGCTTAACTATTATCTTTTTCTTTTCTGTTCATGAAATATCTAGCTTTAAATCACGTCCCTTGAGGAGTTAATTTCTTGTTGCATTTTCTACGATGTGGATATTTTAATAGTTTGTTTGAGGACCAAGAACCTATTTCCCACTATTTTCTTAATGTTTATTTACTTTTTGATATTAGGTGATAGACTAGGTGAAGGTTATGGAATGCTTAGTCAGGCTGGGAGTGGCAAATTGCGTGTATCAGTTGGTCAGAGCAAACTTGCAACCAAAGTTGCTAAGAAGTAAGTTTTCCTCTTCTTGTTTTAAAACTACAAGTTTGGAAGTCATATGTTGTTTTCCTTGATCAGATTGTTTTTTTCATTAGTTTTGGTATTTATTTTGCAAACTTAACCTTACACGTTGATCTTCAGGTTTATATATATTTTTTCGTTCCTTCAGGTTTAAGGAAAAGCATTATGGAAGTAGTGGTGCTACATTTGGAATGACTTCAAGCTTGGCATTCACAGCTATGCAAGTATTTAGCTTCTTCTACTTTGACCATGACCTAATAGGTATGTCATTACTCTATTGTTTTTTTGGTTACACATTTGATATAGAAAAGATTTGAGAAGTATGCCTACATGGCTTTATTAGGTGCAAGAAATGGTTTAGCATTTAAGACTTAAAATAGGGTAAAAAATTTAGGTTAAGGCTGTTTAAGTTGCTTGAAGCATAGTTGAAATTACAAGAAAATATGGACGAGACTTTTTTTTAAGTTGGTGATTTTACATTGTTGACTTCAATAATGGGAAAGGGTACTTGAAATGTGGAAAATCAAGGAAATAAGGGCAAGGTTCTAGTATTTTGAAGCATGTGGCATATGTTATATGTAGTAGTATGTGTGTAGGTAGGTAACAAATTTTAGAGGATTTATCTTTTAGCTCGAGAGAGGTGTATGTATTTTATCTCCTAATACATGGTTGACTAGCTGCATCTTAAATGTAACTTTGATCCTTCTAAAATTTAGAATTGTAACATTTAATACGAAAAGGTTGCTCAAAGTCTTAGGCATTAATCAAACATGCATTATTTCTTGTTTATGTGTGTTTCATCAATGATTGGTATCTTTATTTTTTAAGGGATTGAGCTCACAAATCCTCAAGCTCATGCACATCAGCTTGGCAGTGAAACTCAAAGTACTTACTTTTCTGAGACTGAAACATTTTCAAAGATCAAGAAGACATAAACAAAAGAAGCTCTTGCTGACTACCTCATCATTAGATGACCTTGCCTTGGTCTAAGAAAAGCTTTGTAAATTATGAAAGCATCATGATTACTTGAGTTATAATGAACTCGATATAGACACCGAATTTTGTCCAAAATATTTTAGTGTGGTTAACCCAGGCCCATTTACAACTCTTTAAAAGCCCATACATCGATATTTAAGCTTAATAAATAAAGAAAAATGAGACATGTATGGTTAATATCAAATTCTTTCACATGGCATTCATATGGATAATATTTTTTCATGTAGATGTATGAAAAATAAAGAATAAATAAAACAAATAAACCTTAAAGTCAACTCTTGTTAAAATTATACAAAACTTGATCAAAATAAATAGAACCAGGGTTAATGCTCAAAATTCACAACCTAATAGGAATCAATATGATTTAAAATTAAATTTGAGGATATTTAAAACACTAAAAATTTTTATTGCACTACGAAAGTACAAAATTATTAAAATGCCTTCTAGGGGATATTTTCATAATTTGACCTTTTCAAGCTTGGATTTTCATGAAATTTTTTAGATCTTTATTTTATAATATTTCATAATTTTTGGTGCATTTGAAAAGTTGTACCTCAAAAAGTGTGAAATTATCAAAATATCCCTATAAAGGCATTTTTGTAATTTGACATTCTCGAGCTTGAATTTTTATGAAACTTTTCAGATCTTAATTTCATAATATTTCATAACTTTTTGTGCATTTGAAATCACAACAATACCCTTAAAAATGTAAAATTATGAAAATACCTTTATATAGGTATTTTCGTAATTTAACTTTTTCAAGCTTGGATTTTTATGAAACTTTTTAAATTTCAATTTTATAATATTTCATAACTTTTGATATTTTAAAATTCCAAAAATGAGTATGAAAACATTGATTTATAAGAAAATGACCTAAATGCTGAAAACTTTACACTAAAGGTAAAATGATCTTTTCATGTGTTTAGAGGATATAAAAATTCAACATTTACAGTGAATAATATGAAACATTAGATCTTTTATTGATCTTGATCCAATAGCCAAACGTGATTCCTTGAAAAAAAAAAAGAGAAGCTTTGACCCTTGGATGAGATTTCATCCAAAGATTTATATTCATCCAAAAATAGATATTTTGAAAAAGGTCGATTCTTGAAAGGGGCTGGAGAGTTTGATCAAAAAAAAGAGAAAAAGCTAGAAGATTGGGGAAAAAAGCTAATCACGTTAAAAAAATGAGGGAAAGAGGTTGCTAAAAAAATAAAACAAGCTAAATAAAGAAGAAAAAAAGAAAAAAAAAGAGAAATGAAAAGAGAAGGGAGCTGGAAAGCTGGTGGAGAGGAGAATGATGTGATAAAAAAAATAAATGGCTAAAAAAAAGAAAATTGCTGAAAAAAAAAAGAAAAAAGTTTTGGGGGTATGAACAAAATAAATAAAAAGCAACAAAGGAAAGGCTAAAGAAGAAAGAAAAAAAACTTCAAAGAGGAAAGTTAAAGCCCAAAGAAAGGTTTGAAAGGTATGTTTCCTACAAACTCAAAATCGTGTCGTTTAGATGTTCGCAATGGTTTCTTTCTTCTTCTTCTGGCATGCGCTTTAAGCATCAATCCATTTTTTCATGTTTATCGCTTCTTTATTCGTGCATATGTTTTGTAACATTCATGAGTTTTAGTTAATACAACTATCACCTTTCATGCAAAACTGAATACATAAACTATTGCAATAAGTAAAAAAAGACATAAGACTAAAAAAAAAAAAAAAACCAAAACACCTAAAGTTTCATATGTGCTATCGGTTTGATTTTCCTTCATGAGCCTGCTGCATAAGGTTGATCCATGAGAATGGAAAAGTTTTTAATAACACTATAAGAAAATGAAAGATTAGTGACAATTTTATAGCGATGTTTCACTTACAAACATCATTAGCTTTCGTGTTTTTATAAAGCTTAAGGTGTTTTTTTTTATCAAAACGTCACTAAATATTCAAATAGCGTTGTTTTTACTTATAAATGCCACCTAAAACAAAAATTAGCGGCATTTATCGACTAAAATTCCTTGAATAATCCTCTTTAAAAAATTGGAGTGATTACTGAATGTGTTTTTGACAAAAAATACCTTGAATCATCATGTTATAAAAATGGATAGGGAATTACTAAAGGCGTTTTTGGTAGACAATACTTTAAATAATCCCCTCATAAAAAATGTAGGTGATTATTAAAGATGTTTTTTGCAAGAAACGCCTTCAATAATTTCGCTAAAAAATTGGAGAGGATTATTGAAGGCATTTTTGGTTAAAAACACCTTCAATAAATATCCTGTCAAATTTTAAGGATCACACTATTATTAACAATAAGATCGTAAGTTTGATCATTTCCTTTAGTCTTTTTTGAGTTTTTGAAGGGATTATTCAAAGCATTTTTTGACCAAAAACACCTTCAATAATCTACTCAATAAATTTTTATGAGGGATTATTGAAGGTAGTTTTGATAAAAAATGCCTTCAATAACATTTTATTAAAGATTATTCAAGGTATTTTTTTGCTAAAAACACCTTCAATAATCCCATAAAAATTTTGGTTTAATTAAATATGTGAAGTCAGTTATAGGTTTATACTCATAAAACATTTGAAGTTAGTTGTAGGTTTATACCCAAAAAAATATTTGGTTTATATATGTGATACTATGAATTATATTTTGGAATTTACATTGTGAACATTGTTGTATTTCAATAAATTGATCACACATCTGAATTTAAAATTGATAACGTTGCCATATAAATATACTTTTCTCAAATAATCGTACTCAATATATATGTATTCATATAAAATAAATATATACCAATAATATTAAACTAATACCTCAATCTACAAACTTAAATTATCTATTCAACATGGCATGTTAAAAACAGTATAACAAATGATCCTCATATATTTGCACTCAACCAACAATGTCCAACCTTAAGGTTTAGCAATAAATGATAATACATACTCACATCACTCTTTACGAACTTCATCAAGTTCATCTACTATGAAGCTTTCTTTACTCTCCCACTAAAAAAAAAATCAAAAGTAAATGTTAATAAATGAGAACATAAGTTAGCTTTTTTTTTTTTTTAGAAAGATATAACAACTTTATAAAATTTATACTAACTTTGAATAGTGTGGTCATAAAATCATATAAAATTATCTCCCTCATAAAACGAAAGATATAATATCCACATTCACTATATCCGGGTTGATAAGGTATCTGAAATTAAATTTAGTGGGTTTAAAAAACATTTATTTACACAAACTCAATATAAAAGAATAAATTTCACATTTATAGGTAATGACACCCATTTTATCTTTACCTTATTATCAAATGCAGATATTACCCTAAATTAAAAAGAAAAAAATTACTTAATACATAAATAAAATTACTTATAAAGAAACAGAAGATATATAATATAATAATATGTAATACCTCTTTATAAAAATTTTAATTTCTGGGTTAGGCATTGCTGTTGGTTAAGCGAAATTAAGTAAGTATGGCGTTAAGGAATTGGTATCAATCACAATAAGTTGCCAATGACGACTACAAAATAATAAAAATGATATACTCAGATTAGGCATCATATCAAATTCGGGTAAAGTTGGAATAATTATTTGTATGAATATAACTTACCGCGCATTATACGAATGTAAATAATAATCAACCCATTTTTTCATGCATTCAATCACATGATTAGCATGAAAAGTGATTGTGTCACTTTGCTCACTAATGAAATTAGGGTCAGCAAATCTAAATTTATGGGTTGTTTGTTTTACCTTGACCTCTTTATATAAGAAGTTGCATGATAACAATCAATAATATTAGTTAGTAATGCACTGTAATATAGATTAATACATATTGAGTTTGCATATTTGCATTTATAAGCTAACCTCATATCAGCAACAATATCAATAGCTGATATTTCATCCAGCTCATAAAATTATTTAACCTCAATCACACCAATGTAAGAAAATGATGGTTTATTAAATAACCCATCTTTAGACTCAATGGTTATGCAATTTTCTCTGCATAAATGATCAAGTGAATAATTAGATAACTCATCTATGGTAGCCTGAAAAAGGGTCATACTCTGAGTTTCGACATCCTACTACAATATATAATGAAATATAAGTATTAAAACTAAATCAATAAATATAATAAACAAATAAATATTAAACTTATAAACAAAATCATACTTCATGGTTGGTAGTTGAGGTTGGGTTTCCTGTCTGACTAGCAATGGAAGCTTGTCCCAGGTGGATAATGCTACCTGACTAGCCTACAAGCATGCTAAATTGCATTGCTGCCAACATGGCCTCCAAAGTAGCGAGTCTTTACTGTTGCTCATTAAGGTGTTACTCCTGATCATCAAGTCATTGCTATTATTGCTCAATGATTGCTTCATATTGTACATTTGTCATTTGAGAGGTTTTGGATTGATTAATTAAAAACTTTGATGGCAACATAAATTTACCAACCCCACGAACTCGACTATGCTTTTTTTTAGCTCTTAATGCTAAAGACAATGGATCTTTGCCATACTGGGTTACCAATTTATCAGATTTAACTTTGATAGCATAATCATCTTGAAAAATAATAATAAGATGGTTGTAACAACAAATCTATACAAGCTAGTATAAAGTCATGCATATAACCACAATAACAATCATATGTGATTTACTGAACAGTTATACATACAATCTTTTTAGCCAATTCTTTAGTTGCTTCATCTGCAAGGAATCCATCTTTTCACAGATGTCCTTAGTTTTAGACATCTCATCTGAAAACTTCGATACTAGAGTTCGCTGATTCCTAATAAATTATTGTAATAAAAAAATCAGAATCTATGAAATAAATGTTCATAAATATTCATTTATGAGTATAAAATAAGTGTACGAATACTTACAAGCTCATACTTGACATTTGCATATCCCTTTCTCGCTGTTTGATGGTGATATATTT